CTGCATCCAGAGAACTCACTCTTAGCATCCTGTGGTCTGACTAGAATCCCCTTCCACAATGTGCTGCCTAGTGGACTGTTTACCAAGGAAAGACGAGAGGAAATGGCCCTGCCCTGTGAGATCAAAGCAGCCAGCGCCCTGGAGTGGCTGCCGGGCTGACTCTTGGGGCAGAGACACTGCCTGGCTGCTAGATGGGAGATGGCGATGTGGCCGCTCTGTCAGTGGGTGGGGAACAGAGCTGTCTCCTCCGCCTTTGGTGCTGGGGCCTGAGGGCCTGGCCTGAGCACTCATTCTGTGCCCACCTCCCTGCTCAGAGGAGGATTCCGTAGGCCATGGTGGGCAGGAAGCAAAGATGACGGCATTTCTGGGTAAGGGCAAATGGGGAGGACTTTGTAAAAGGAAGAAGGAGAGAGAGAGAGAGAGAGGAGAGAGAGAGAGAGAGAGAGAGAGAGAGACACGAAGAGGGAGGGAGGAAGGGACTATAAACACAGACAAGAGGGGAGGGGAGCCTGGTGGGACTTGGGAGAGGGAAGGAAAGGACTATTAAAGTATTTTTCTGAGGGGAAGAGTTTGTAAGCAGAAGCCAGAGTGACTTTGTTGAATGTGAACTGTTTGGTGGCCCCCAAAGGACTTTTTCTGAAAAGCCAAAGTACTGCCTCCAACATGGTAGTAGGTACTGCACTCCCAACACACATACATAGAAAGGGGGTCAGTGGGCCCACTACTGAAGGCGAGTGTGTATGTATGTGTGAGTGTGAGTGTGTGTATGTATGTGTGAGTGTGTATGTGAGAGTGTATGTGTGTGTGAGTGTGTGAGTATGTGTGTAAGAGAGTATGTGTAAGTGTGTATGAGTGTGTGAGAGAGAGTGTGTGAGTGTGTGTGTGTGAGAGAGTGTGTGTGTGAGTGTGTGTGTGTGAGAGAGTATGTGTGTGAGTGTGTGTGTGTGTGAGTGTGTGTTGGGGTGAAGGGAAACTGGAAGGAACCCCAAGTCATGTATGGAAAGTAAAAGTACTGAACACCCAGCTCAAGCAATTGTTTTCTCCTGAAGGCTAAAATTCACGGGCAGGTGGCCAACAGCCGCATTAGGATAAGAATGTAATCTGTTTATAATAAGTTTGCAAAATCCATCTCAGTGGTGCCGTGAGTGTGCAGTGCCCACAGCCCGCACATCGCTGGCCTTGGCCTGGTGTCCACGGCACGCGCACGGGAGCTAACAGGCCAGTGTTTGTGAAACCGTCCTGCCTCCTTTCTCAACCCCACCCCCCCACACACACTTCCCTCTGGGTGGAAAAACACATTCCCAGAGACAGCAGCTGGGTGTCTGAGAGGCCGCGGAAGCCGCTGCTCCCTCTGGCTGAGCCACTGCTGCTCCCGGAGCACAGGCCTGGAGTGACCTCTCCAAGGAAGGGACCCAGAGGCCGCTCAGGCCCTGATGCGGAAGCCCAGGTCCCTGCACACGTCCCCCGGGCGGTCCTGGGCTCTGCTAGGTTCTCCATTCTGGACAAACGGGGCTGCCTGCCACCCTGCAGTGTGTCTACTCACGTCAGGGTTCTGGGTCTGCAGTGCCCACCAATTTTCAGAACAATGACAAAGATGCATGGGCACTTACTGTGAGCTGGGCACCACCTGAGCACTTCGCACGCAGGACCTCAGTGTACCCATCCACAACCTTCCAGGGAGCCACCATTGCTACCTCATCGCACAGACGTGGAGAGGAAGCAGGAGCTTAAACAACTTCCCAAACTCCCGCCATCAGTGGGGTTAGGGTGGGGCCTGGGATTGAACTCAGGTTTGCCAATCCCCAAATCCCAGCTCCTTCCCATCAAGCCCACCATTCTCTCCCTCCCACGTGGACACCCATGGAGGCTCTTCTCTCAAGCCCTGCCAGTCAACCGCCCCCCCCTGCAAAATCATACCCCAAAGGGCACTCATCCCCTCTATGCAGAATTGAATAAATGATAAACCATGATGGCTAAAAGCAAGGGCCTAGGATCAGCCAGACCTGCTGGGAATTCTACTTCTGCCTCGCTCTAACCCTGGGAGGCAGGGCAGGGAGAGAGGTAAAGGAGATAAAACAGAAATAGCCAGTGTGAGCGTGTGAGCAGCTCGGTGAGGGCCTGTGGTGGCAAACGTGATAAGATGAAGAGAACATGGGCTGGGTGTCCCACCTCCAGCTTCACTCCCTCCCCATCTTCCAACTTCTCCACCCAGAGTGTGTCTGAGCACGCTGAGCAGGGAGCTGAGCCTTTCCTCTGTGCCCCGTGGAACAGCTCCTCCACGGTGCTGTGGGCCATCGGGAGCCTGGGCTTCCACCCCACCAGCAGCAACACGGCTCCCTCCCCTTCCCCACTGGTGGTATCAGAGGCGGCCTGGGGGAGTCAGGACTCACCCCACCCCTCAGCCATGAGGCACTCTGACCCCTGCATTTGAGGAGCTGTTTATTAGTGGAGGCCGTGTGGGAGCTGGAACTGGGGAGACACCTTCTTGCTTCTTACCTCGGTGTCAACAAAGGCTGTGTGGGACCTGGACTTCCACCCCACCTGGCAGTAACGAGGCGGCTCCCTACCACTCCTGCCGTCCCTACTGGAGCAGTGTGAGAGGAGACCCTAAAACAGATCAATGGAAGGCCCACGGTCTCCTAACATGATACCCCAAGTGTCCAGTTTTCAGTAGGAAACTACTCATCATGCTCAGATCCAGGATGACCTCGAACTGTGTGAAAACAACCAGTTAATAAACGCCAACCCCAAGAAGACAGATGTTAGAATTACCTGACAAACCTTTTAAAGCAACCACCATAAAAATGCTCCGAAGAGCAATGACAAGCACTCTTAAAACAAATGAAAAAATAGGAAGTCCCAGTCAAGAAAGATAGAATAGAAAGAAGAACCACATGGAAAATTTAGAACTGAAAATACAGTAACCAAAACAACAGCCCACCTCTGTGGAGTTACTCACCAGCAGAACAGAGGGGAGGCACCGAACCAGAGACAGGACAATATTAACCATCAATGTACATGACACTCAGAGAAGAAAATGGGCTGGAAAAATAGACCCAGAGCCTCAGGGCCCTGTGGGGTGAAGGGGGCTATGATAAAGGTCTAAATTCTGTGACATTGGAGTTCTGGAAAGAGAGGAAAAGAGGGCAGAAAGTACTGAATTTAAATAATGATTTAGAACTTCCAAAATTTGGCAAAAAACATGAACTCATAGTCTGGCTGGTGTGGCTCAGTGGTTGAATGTCGATCTAGGAACTGGGAACAGTTTGATTCCCAGTCAGGGCACATGCCAAGGTTAGGAGCTCGATCCCCAGTGTGGGGCATGCAGGAGGCAGCCGTTCAATGATTCTCTCTCCTCTTTGATGTTTCTATCTATCTATTTCTCTCCCTTCCTCTCTGAAATCAATAAAAATACATAAAAATAAACCCAAAAAACATGAACTTACAGATTTAAGAAACTGAGCAAACCTCACACAGAATAAACCCAAAGAAATGCCTATCAAGACACAGCATAGTCAAACCTCTGAAAAAAAAAATCTATTGAAAACAGAGAGAAGTGACACTTTATCTGGGGGGAGTTTGAATGACAGCATATTGTCATTAGAAACTGAAGAGGCCAGTATTTTTATTTTATTGTATTTTGTTTATTTTTTGAGGCCAGAGTATTTTTAAATGCTGAAAGAAAATCAAGACGTTTTCAGAAAAAGAAAAACTAAGAATGTTTGTCATCAGCTGACATACTATAGAAAGAACACGATAAGCAAAAATATTGGTAAATATGGTACTTTCCTTTTCCTTGTGAGTTTTCTACATTATGATGATGGTTGAGGCAAAAACTGTAACACTGTCTAATGGGATTCTAAATGCATGTAGAAGAAATATTTAAGACAATCTATACATATAAAAGCCTAAGCGACCGAACAACCAAACAACTGAACGACCAAACGACCGAACAACCAGTTGACTGGTTGCTATGACATGCACTGACCACCAGGGGGCAGATGCTCAACACAGGAACTGCCCCCTGGTGGTCAGTGTGCTCCCACAGCCAATATCCCGCAGCTGGCCAACCTCCCGCGGTCCCTCTCCACAGCTGTCTGGCCCCCCCATTGGCCCCAATCCGGGGGGCCAGCCGGCCAACTTCCCACGGTCCCTCCTGCTGGCTGGCCAGCCAACCTCCTGCAGTCCCTCCCCCTGGCCTGCCGGCTTCCCCTGATTGGCCCCAATTGCTGGCCAGGCCAAGGAACCCCACCAGTGCATGAATTCATGCACTGGGCCTCTAGTTATATTATAAGCAGAGAGGGTAAAGGGATATAAAAAGAGGTAAGTGTTCCACACTTCACTCAAACTTGTAAAGTGATGATAAAAGTAAACTGTGGTCTCAACAGATACAAAAAAATCAATTAATAATAGCCAACAAATATTTCTGATAAGAACTCTCAGCAAATTAAGAATTGATGGGAAGTTCCTCAACCTGGAAGGGGCATCTACTAAAAACCTACAGCTAGCACCATTCTTAATGGCAGAAAACCAAATACTCCTCTCCTACAATCAGAAACCCTCAAGGTCTTATTGCATACTTATGATTCTATCCAGCACAAAATGGCGAGAACTAGAAAGAAAAGAGACCCGGCTTGGAAACGGGGTGGTATAGCTGTCCTTATTTGCAGATAACATGAGAGTTTCTGTAGAAAATCCTGTAGAACCAAAAGCTACTAGAGCTGAAAAAAATGACTTTAGTAAAGATTCAAGAAACAAGAGTAACATAACATTGACGGGATTTCTGTATACTTGCAATGAAGAATGAAAATTTAAAATTTAAAAATACCATTTTCAATAGTATCAAAAAGTGTAAAACATTTATAAGGAAACGGAAAAAAGATGGACAAGATCTAGACATTGAAAATTACAAAACACTGCTGAGAGAAATGAAAGAGAACCTGAGTAGACAGTGTTAGGGTCACCGAAGGAGGAATGCATGAGGCTGAATGTGGTAAAGAATTATACATTTATTATATCATCTGGAAACTCAGATGGGCTGAGTCCCAAAATGGCTCCAGCACCCAGGGATGGGGAGTCAGAGGTTATAAAGGACTCTGGGTAGCCTTTTTCTGGGCGGAGAATTCTCTGGGTGAGTCCGGATCCTGGGAAGGACCGGAGGAGAAGGTTGATGGTCTTAGCAAGTGAAATATGGTCTAAGCAAAAGGGAATGTTGGTTGTGAAGTGACCTAAAGGTCAGTTCTCAGGAGAGGGGGTATGGATTCAATCATTTGATCAGACCTAACATTCCAGCCTTTTTGTTTTATGGGATAGGGATGGAGGTCATATCTTCTGTAGGTACTTCCTGATGATGGGGGACATTGAGATCATAGGGGGATGGACTTTGATTGTAGTTGGCTGGAACACTGTATAAATTCCTCATGGTTGGAGCGGGGGGTTGCAGCAGCATGATTCCCCAAGAGACTGGTTGGCAAAGGCTTGAAAGCAGTCCTGAAGGAAAGATGAAAAATGATGCAGACTACATGGGCCAAAAACAAGGATAAGGACTAGGAATGTTAATGGTCCTATGAAGGGAACTAGCCAGGTATACCAATGTATATCCTTTAGCCAGTAGTCCCATGAATTTGATTGATGTTCTCTAGTCTTTGTGGCCCTTTTTGTTAATGTTTGGGCAGCATTCTGACGAGGCCAGACTGATTGACATGAAAACAACATTCTTCCTCCAGAAAGAGGCAGAGAACCTCTATCCCTGCAGTCAGGAGGTCTAGTCCTCTCCGACTAGAAGAGATGATAGCCGTTAGTGAGTCTATTTGATCCTGAATGTGAACTAAACTTTTGGCAATGTCATCTAAGCTTTCTTGTAGGTCCTGGGACAGGATTTCAAAATATGATAGAGCAGTGGTTGTTCCAACCTATGCCAGTTCCAACCCCTGCTGTGATGCTGAGGATTATGAGGAGAGGGATTATCTGGACTGCCCTTTGTGTCGGATATGATGAGTTATGGGAACAGGTAAGACTGATTATTGGGGGCTATGTCTACATTGGGTGAGAGATAGACCAGAGAACAGGTTCCTGTCCAGTTGGTTGGGAGGCAGATGTATGTATGTGTTTTCCCCACCGAGGAAGAAAAATCCCTGATCATGGAGACAAGCTGAAAGGTGTAGAGAGAAGAGGTGGACTAAAGGGTATGAGGTCCTTTTCCCGGTTCTGCACTCCAAATCAAGAGGGTTGTTGCCATGGCACTGCGATAAGAGGTGACAGATGAGTGGTTGAGATTCTATTGCAGTGACAGTCGGTGGGAACACTCGAGTGGGCTGATATCCAAGGGAAAAGAGAAAGGGAAGGAAAGAAGCAATTGAAGCCTTGGGCCTGAATGGTTGGATAAGAAATAAAAGGGACCGGCTGTAGGAAACAACTATTGGCTTCTGGGGAGACCTGGTAGTCAGCCCATTGGGACCAGTGGCATTCGGTAGTTCTAGGTTAACTGTAGTGTTGCAGGCTAACAATGGGAGATGGCCTATTATGTTGCCCTGTGACCTTGTAAAGAATAAGGGGGCTTAGGCAATTAGTGGGGTGTGTAGAGTGATAGGATCTGTGACCGGGGTAGAGGAAGGAGCTACCTTAGTAAGAGATAGAACGTAAGTATCGGAAAGAAGGGAGGCTTGATTTGCCTGGGCTGTAGGATAATTACCTAGAAGGGTGTCTGCCTTTTCTAGAAATGTAGTCCCCTTTTCCTTTTTATAAGCTAGAGTGATTTTTGCCTTATTCCATCTCTTGGTTGGTAAAGGGATGGTGTATACACTGAAGAGGAGAGGGAAAGGCAGAGCCTGCATTTCCTGACTAAGGCTGGATTGGTCTGGTTTAGGAGGGAATGGGTAAGGTTAAGTGTTCGTTTGAGATGAGTGGAGGTGAGAAAGTTCCTTACGGGTGTAGGAGAGGAGGATTGGAATAGGATGAGAAAGAGAGCTAATTCCTACTTCCAGGGTCAGGATTGTCCCAAGGAGGGGAAAGGGCATGTTTGGGATCTAGAAAGAAGGAAATCTCATCCCATGGGTAAGTCCCAAAGAAAGGTGAGAATCCTGATGTGAAGAGAGAGGGGGCAGTAGCTAGGGCCTGGAGGATTTGTACTGGGAGAGGAACTGGGATTTCAGGGAAGGCAGGGTCCATAGGGGCAGTACATAGGGGGCACATCAGGGGTGCTCACTCACTCATCGTCTTCTTCTGGGATGCGGGTAAGGCGGAGTCTGGTAGGCCTGATCAGGTGGCTGGGATACTTAGGGGACTCCAGCTCATGCGATGGTGGTATTCCGAGGACAGGTTTTAATCTGGAAAGGTGGAACCATGGGGTATGCCCGCTAGGTTAGGTGCAGTTGGAGTAGTTAGGAGTACCTGGTAAGGGCCTTGCCACCAGGGCTATACATTGTTGGGTGGGTGGATTTCCTGTAGGAGGACCCAGTCCCCTGGCTGTAGAGGAGTAGGGGGGATGTCTCCCATAAAAGGTTTAGGGAGGACCTGATCAGCATGTTCTCTCAGTAATTGTTGGACAAGATTTAAAATAGGGACATAGTCTCCTAGAGGGGTCTCTGTGGAAGGGAAGTTTCCTAATAAGAAGGGTCTTCCATACATGAGTTCAAAGGGACTAAGAAAGGAGGGTGTGTGGGCTTGCTCTGATGCACATAAGGGCTAGAGGTAGGAGAGTAGAACAAGGTTCTTTAGTTTTGAGAGTTAATTGAGTTAGGTGAGAATTAAGGAATTGGCCTTTTTACTCTCGCTTATAAAAAGCAGTCTGTATCCTTGCCTGAAGACTGGGGTCAGTAGGCTTGTGTAGGAGACTGTTGAGTTATTTGAGACATGAAAGCAGGTCCATTATCTGATTGTAATGAGGTGGGTAGGCTGAATCTGGGAATGATATGCTGAATGAGAGCTGTGTGACCTCGGAGGACTTTTCAGACCCAGTGGGGAATGCTTCTACCCAGCCTGAGAAGGTATGTACTTTGGTTAAGAGATATTTGGTTCTTTTAATAGGAGGCATGTGAGTGAAGTCAGTTTGCCAGTCTTGTGCAGGGATTTGGCCCCTTGCCCGATGAGTGGGGAAAGAAGGAGATCTAACCTGTCCCTGGGGAGATGCTGAGTAACCAGTAGAACAGGTTTGGGTGATATCTTGCAGTAGGGAGGCTAGGCTAGGACATGTGTAAGGGGTTTTAGGAGTTGTAGAAGCGATCTATATCCTATATGTAGGTAATTGTGACTAGCCCATAAGATATCATGGACCTATCCCTGGGAAGGATATATTTTCTCTGAAATTTTAACCATAGATCTTCCTGAGTGGCCCCAAGAGCTAAAAGGGACTGAAGTTCCTTGGGAGTGTATTAGGGTGTTATATGAGGTAGAGCTAAGAGTTGGGAAGACAGAGACTTCCTCTGAGCCACTGCCTTGGCCTTCTGGTCTGCTTTGTTATTTCTCTGTATTTCGGGATCATTCCTGACTCGGTATCCTTTGCAGTGTATGACTTTTAAGAAGGCTAGAAAAGGGGAGAGAGGTTCCTAAATGCCAAGCAGGAAGACCTGTTGAGGCTTTCAGTGATAGTGTCAAGGACTGTGAATGAGCGGTGGAAATAAAGAAAGTCTAGGCTTCAATCTAAGGACACAAGCAACAGGAGAGAGCCTGGGTGGGGCTGCTTTAGCTTATCAGGAGAGAAGGGGTCCCTTCGGTCCTGACTCACTGGACAAACTGTTCTACAACTTTCACAAACCTTCTTACCCATTCAGAAACCTTAATTTCCAATGATAACCAAAGTAAACAACCAGCATTTCTTAAATTGTCATTTATGAACACACTTTAAACATACTCTTACTTTCAAGAAAATATACCTTCAACAAAGTAGGAGACATTCTGTAATAATAAGAGCAGACGAATTTAAAACTTGTCTAGCAATTAATGTTGAATATTTTATGTTATTTAAAAATATTTAGATGTTTATCATTTAACCTAGCAATGCCCCCAAAGCCTTTAAATTACCAAGGACTTGGAAAATTATGTAGAGGCATATGAGGCTAAAGAAAAGATGGGTGGG